GGACTCGGCCTGTTCATTAAGGTGTGAGCGGTGATGGGCTGGTGGCGGTTTGATCATCGCTGACGGCTCAGGACTGCCCCGCAGAAAAGAGAGGAGTTGAAAATCACCGAGAGGGAAGTGGGAGGAATGAATGGAGAATATTGTGTGTTCTTGTGCTGGGCTAGGTCAGTTGCATTAGATTCAGAGCCTTTCTGAGTACAATTAATAGTCATTTTATTTAGGTCACCCTGGTTTTGTTGCTTTAAATGTATGCCTCCATTAAAGTGGAAGAAAATCAAATACATTAATCTGTGTGGAGCCTTTTGTGAACTGGTTGGGCATATTTTAAATAACCCTGGGAACTATTGGGATTATTAAAGCCTTTGGCTCTTCCAGGTTTTTTTCTTTCCTCCTATTCTCCCCTATTCCTCCTTCCAGGCAGTGATTAAAGAAGTGGTGTAGCCCTTCCTTTTCTCAGAGCCCCAAATGGACTGAAAAAAATGTTAAATAAACTAGAGCCCATTAGTTAGGCTCTATATAAGAAACTGGGTCTAAATTGGATAGATGGGGTATGCTGGGACAGAGGAGAAGTCTGTGGGGCTTAAGTATCCATTTGTAACTGGTATTATCCGGTAAGTGTCTACCTTTTTTTTTTTAATTTACTTTAAGTGCTAAGACTGCGTTAATTTTGGAATACGCTCTCATTTGAGGCCAATAACTAGTTCAAATTAGTCAGCTCCTTTTAGCCTCCATATTGAGCCATGCTGCATCTGAAGAGAGAGGAGTTTTTGGATTGTGAGGAGTTTTCTGAGTGCGTTGGGTGGGATTTGGCCCTCTGCTTGGTGGTACAGCATCTTGCCTGTACGGGGGAAATTCAGCTCTCTGCTGGGGTGTACTTTCCCCTGTGCCCAGAGATCATGCTTACAGGAGGCCACTTTCGTCGCTGGTCCCAGGGTCCAGCTGGCCGTGGGTGATCAGTGACCCCAGCCAATGGAGGTGGCGATGGCATCTTCCAGTCCCGTTTCTGTCCCCAGAGAAAACTTCTCTTTTGTAAGCAAGGTGCCAGCTGCATGCTTTGAGTTGTGACCTGAACACTGGCTGTTCAAGCATCTTTAAAATACTGGGCCAGCAAGAGCGCCTTTGGTGGGAGGAAGGGGTTAACTTTGAGCAGTTGCAGCTCCTGAATCTGCTGGAGTTTCATCTGAGGGTTGTTGGGTTGGTTTTTTTTCCTTCCTCTGAAATAGGGATCAATTTGCTTACTACAGGGTTTACTGCCGGTTACCTTGACTGTGTCCCTTATTTCTCCTTGACGAAAACTTGAACAAGCTGCTTGTGTTTGATTCACAGAGAACCGTGAGAAACAGGCTCTGTGTGTGAGGCAGTGTGGTTTTCTCATTCTATTCAGCCCTTTGTATATTCAAATTCTTCTAGTTTCAGTTCTTGCTGTTCTGCCAGATTTCCATACCATTGATGGGTTTTCTGAATTAATAAGTTTCTTTCTCCCCCTCCCTCCCATACCCTCACCACCTTTTTGCAACTGGTGAAAAGTTTTTCTAAGCACTCTGCCCTCTCCATATTGATTTTCTTCTCTTGCTTGTCTAACCAGCTCTCAGATGTTTTATTTTGCAAAGCGTTAATAGAATTTTCCTTTTGCCATTGCACTTTATCTATTCAGGAGGTTTCAAGAAGTCTCATTGTGTCACCGGACTATGGAGGAAAGAGGCTATTCTTCTGTTACAATGGCTGCCCTAAAAAATAACGCAGGGTGGGGTAAACGCAGAAAGGGCAGAGACGGAGATAAAATGTTCTGACCTTAGAAAACAGAAAAGATAACCAATTAGACATTGTTGAAAGGGCACCAGCTGGCTTACAGAACACCCCACTGATTATTTTTACTTAAAGGCAAGCTTGGTCCACATCTGAAACTCGGCTGCAGAGCCGCTTCCCTCCTTGCAGGTTCTCAGATTTGACCCAGTGATTTCGGATTTGAACAGGGCTGACCCTTTCATAGGTTCCTGTGTGTCCAGTTCTGGTCCCAGGAGTAGGTACTGGTGCTTGGAGGGATGCAGCACCCACCTCCAGGCTATCTGTGCTCCTTGGGTCCCCTGCCAGCACGATGGAAATCGCCTGGATTAGCTCATGCAGGCTGCATTTATTACTGCTAATAAGGATTTATTTGCATTAAAAAGATCTCTGCCAAGATCATCATTCCAGTGAAACGGGGGCCTTGGTACACATGGCACCAAACGTTGTTTGCCCAGAGGACGTGTGTCTGCTGGGTGAGAGGATGTGTCGCGTTGTACAGGTGGGAGAGGTGAGTGAAATGGCACATCCCCAGTATGAGCAGGAGCAGTACCCAGACCCCCGCACACCCTCCCGTGCCAGGACCTGTCCCTTCTCTGTCACGCTGGCACTTGGAGGAGCAGGATGAGGCTTCCCAGGAGGCTCAGCCCCATGGTGCTGCTGCTGGCCACAACTGAGCCCGGGAGAGGGTTTGCACCCTGCAGCTCAGGCTTCAGTCTGCTGTGGGGCTTGGGCTGAGCTATGGCCACGCTAAAGCAAAGCTCAAGTCCTCTTGTGCCTCACCTGATGTCTCTCTCTTCTCCCCTTGACAGCAATACAAGCAGCCTTGTTAAAGTCCTCGGTAATGTCCTTGCAGGAGGAGTTGTCATTTGTAAATGACAGCCGTCTCAGTGTGGGTCCAGCCAGGAGAGCCTGCAGCCGCCTGGTCGGGGGGCAGAGGACCTCCCTGGGCTGGTGGGATCGGTGCCGCAGTGTGTCCCAGACCTCTGGGCTCTGCTACGGCGTTTGAGGCAGAAAGGTTTCCATGGGAAGAGTTGGACATTAAAACTTCTGCAGCAGTGATTGGTGTGGGGGCAAAAGGGTGGTCGGCACGCTCACGGGGACCGAGGCAGCGGAAGACACGATGCTCTGGGAATCAGCGTTAGATGCAACGTGTAATTTTTCGTTCCAGTGAGGCCAAGACCTGTGAGAATGAAAAATAAAGATTGCTGTGCAAACATAACCCTGGAGCAGAGATAAGCTGTGGTGGTAGGGTGAAGGGCATCCCTGTCCTTATCTGCCTCCTGGTATTGCTCATACTTGTGAGTTTTCTTCTTTGGAGTGAAGCAAGACAGCAGGACAAATGGCTCTGTGCTTATTGTGGTTTGGGTTTTTCAGTGCATCAGCATCTTTAGGTCTTATTCAAGATGGGTATCAAGGAGGCATGCTGTTCTCCACCATCCCAGGCCATTGCTAACACATTCTGCAAACCATCTCAGCCGAAAAAGTTAAGAACAAGTTAACCAGAGGCGGGTTTTAAGATGACTTTAGATATCATGTAAGGTTTTACTTCACTGTATTTTTTTTTACTATCTCCTGGAACACATTTCAGTCCCATAGTTAGGAAAGGTTCAAGCTGTGTTTTTACCACCTTCCCAAAAAACATCTCTCCCTGGGTAAGACCGAGACTGTAACTCTGCACAGAAGTTCGATGGATGTGTGTTCCCCTGCATAAGAGGACTACAGTCAAACTATACTCCCTGAACCATGGATTTTGTCCAGGTGGAAGCCTTCAAATCCTGCTGTGGTTCCAGGATCACGTTAAGGCAGCAGAAGCTGGCACAGCTACCCAAAGTGGTCCCACCTTCACCTGAGGTGCCACTTCTCTGCCCTCTGCAGCAGCCCGTGCCTTGTGTCAGCGCAGGCGTTCAGTTGGCCGTGCTGGGACACTGATCTGGCTTCCAGCTTGCGTGGAAGAGAAAGCGCGGTTCATTTCCACACGGAGCGGTTCCCTGGCTTGGCCTGCTGTGCAGACATGTTGGCAGAAAGGAAGGGGTCAGCCCAGGAGCGGCAACCGGCAGTGGGGGTGAAAGGTGGGCCCTTTGGTGGCTGTGTAAGGTGAAGAGAGCATGTAACTGCATTGTAAATATATCACTTTCCCTAAAATAAATTATTTATAGACTTCCATGTTCTTATATTCTGGCATTAGCATAAAAACTACTGGGGGGAAAAATCCCAAACAAAAAAACCCACCCCAAAACCCACTCCCTCAGATAGCCATTGGAGTCCTTTAAAGAATCAAACCTTTTCTTTAAAGATCTTCTCCCTTCCCCCAACGTCTTCTGCAATTTAGCGGTGATACAGGTTTTCATCAGCCCCTAGTGTAAAATGGGGAATAGCGAGTCTCTAATTTCTTTTCCAAAAGATTGCCCAGAGCTTTCCTGCAGCATGCAGGACTGACCTGCTCCAGCTCCTGCAGCCTCTGAGCAAGAGTTTAAGATGCGGTAATGCTGGAAAACAAACCCCAACACGACATCCTTCTAAAATAAGTGTAAAATTTTAGGTGTGGCTGCACGGATTAAATGGAGGTGGAATAAATCATGCAAATAGTAATGAAAGTTGAAAGCACTTTGGTTGCACTTCAGTATGTTTGATCAGTCATCTCTCTTCTGAAGTGGAAATGCCAAGCCTGATGCGAATTAAACTTTCTCCCTCCTCCCTCTCCCCTCTTTCCTCTAGCTTTTCAAAAGGCCTTTGAAAACCTCTGAATACCTTTCTTGGCTGACCAGATTTTACCCTGCTCATACTTCTTGTAACCTCCTCATTCTCAGCCAAGGCAGTGACTCTGATGTGGAGAAGTCATGGGCTTCATTTGCATCCATGATTCCTCTCTTGGCCCTTCCTTATCTCCCTACAAAAGGAAAAAAGGCTGAGATGAGGCACAGCCAGGGTCGAATGAGCGGTGGAAGAGCTGCTTAGATATTTGGCCTTTTAGGGCAACCGAACTTCTACTGTTTGCTTTTCTGCTTTAGGATGAAACGTCAGCTAGGATGTGGGTGGAAAGCAACAGATTTCCAAAAGGAAAAGCTGACTGAGCAACAGCAAGATCTGATACACCCCTTGTACCTGAGCTGGGGCTGCCCCTGCCTTTGTCTCCCCTTCCCGGTTTGTCTGCTGTGCCTGTGGGAAGCGTGCAGCCAGTGTGCTAAAGCCTGCATCTCCCCTCTTCTCTCTTGCAGGTAGAGGACGCCATGCTTATGTTTGACAAGACGACCAACAGGCATAGAGGTAAGAGAGAACGGCAGCTCAGACATCACGTGTTGTGACAGCTTCTGCATGGTGAGCACAGCCGAAAACCAGTGTCAGCACCATGACCTGGTGGCTGAATTCAGTGGTGCCAAATCCCTCTGTCCTGCAGGTTTTGCAGAGGAAGGGCTGTTTGGTGTGTCATGCAGATTTTCTTATTAAAGATGACTTTTCTGGTCAGTCTAATGCCTTATCTTGGGGAGGATCCCTGGAGGTAAAGCCCAGGGAGCTGCATGCAGTGAGGCTGCAGGGAAGCAGCAGGTTTGTACCAAGGTGGCTAGCATTGGATTAAGCTGGGCCTAAGGCCAGTTAAGCTGAGACACCAAGAAATGAAGGTGCTAAACCCCTCTGCTGGTTTCAAGCACGCTGGAGTTCTGAAGCTGAGGACTACTTGTCCTCTAGTAATGGTAGCTCAGAATAAGCAGGATCTCCAGAAGAGGAATTTCCCTCCACATATTTCACAAGAGAGCCAGGGTTTCATCACTGCTTGTACAGTTCTGTGAAAACGAGCTGAGGATTATTTTCAGTGTTATGGCCATTCCTTTCAGTGGAAATAAATGATGCTCCTCTGTCTCTCAATGAGTGATTCACGTTATCGCTGCAGAGCTCTAGGCAGAGAGCAGCCTGACAGCCGCTCCGTTCAGCTGGGAGGGGGTAAATGTACCTGGACTCTCACAATAACACCAGAAACTGCACTGGGGACTGGCTCCGTGACCCTCTCCCCTTCTCTCTGAACAAGATTGATTTTATGGCACCTGTCTCCCTGCTTGACCACGGCATGTGTTTGGAGACAGTGCAGGAAGCCGGTGCGGCTTGTGGCTCCTGCCCCCGTACGACGGCATGGATGTATAGCCCCAAGGTTTGTCATTTGGCCTTTGCGCTCCAGCTTCTTTGGGGGGGCTCTCCTGACTGATATGGTCATTGTCTCAGCCACGAATGTGTCGGCTGCTTGGAGTGGAATACGTAGCCCGGTTGTTTAGGGAGGCTGCCAGAGGGTGTAAAGGAGCCTGCGCATGGCCAGACGGTGATGGGATCCCTTGGAAGGGAGAGGGGAGCAGCCCAGAGTGCCCAGCCACTGCTGGCTCGTCTTCATCTCTGTGGCAGGGCCAGAAGACCTGACCTCCCAGCACTGTCTGAATTATTCACTGCTCTGATACTTGCCTTAACAAGCAAGTTAGTATGTATGGATGGCTGGGTGAGTCAGGCAAACCTCTGGGATAGCATTCCCTCCCTCCAGCAGTTCTGTCCCAGGCACTGATCCCTCTCTCAAGTCAGTGAGTGTAGTACCCTGGAAAATCAGCAGCAGCAAGCACAAGACTTGCTTGGAAAGATAAGCTCTTCAGAGCCAAGGAAGGCATGTGAACAGCCAAGGCCCATCAGCTTGGTAACAGGAACCAAGTGTTCAAAACTTCTGTGTTGTTTGGAAGGTTCAACCCCTGACAACTTCCTTTTATATCCATAGAATTTTCCACCCCTCTTTTTGCAACCACCCTTGAAGTGGCCATAAATACCCTTTCCCATTCAGGATCTTGGCATGTCATTTGTTGCATTTAAGAGCTATGTTATGTGGTGCTTTTGTGCTGGGCAGAAGGGATCAACGTCCCCGTTGTGACGCGGTCTCCTGGCAGCTGGGCTTAAGGAGTACTGGGGGCCTCTGGTCCCAGCAAGACACGTACTTGGCAGATTTGGCCCCTGTGAATGTGTTTTAGTGAGTCTTTTGCCTGCTTCTGTTTGTATTCCTTGTTCTATTCTTCTCAGTTGTTCATAGAATCAGAGAATGGTTTGGGCTGGGAGGGAACTTCAAGCC